TCCTCAATTGGAAAATGGAATACTAATGGGAGGTGTAATCAACCGTGAAGATATACATAAATATATATATATTCGTCCTGATAGATCCTCCTTCCTCTTACCTGGTGTGTCGGGAAGGAGCGAGGGCGTGCTCCGCCCTGAGAAGAGCATGGATGGCAGATATCACAGGTGTTAGTTATCTCCTGTGTGAAGGAGGATAAAGACGGAAAGGACTGAAAGCTGGTGGCGTACAGTAGAAGGCACACCAGATAAGAGAGGGAGCATCTGTCACATCCCATAGCCAACACCCAGCGATGACTGTCATTCAAGACCAAGGCCCCCCCCAAACGGAGCGTGGGAGGAAAGGTTTCGAAGCGCACATTCGTTTGGCAACATACATTTTGTGTGTCTTGCATGGCATGGCCGAGTGGTGCGGGGCACGTTGGGACTTCCTCACTGATGTCTGATTGGTTTTTATTCTTGTGATTAGAATGTCCCGCTCCAGCCTGGGGGTGCAAACCAAGTCCTATGACCACGAACTGATGACTCAGTGATGTGGGCCTGTCCTCGCTGGCAGGGACCCGGTGTTCTGGCAGCGGAGGCATTTCTGAGAGATGCCCCAGATCTGCCCGTGAACAAGCCTGCAGTCCTGCCGGGACAGACTGACTGCCCAGGTGGCCACCCCTCCCGGAGGCTGCCCTGGCTCCCTCGGGTTATGTTTCCAGAGATCTTTGCTCACTGTCCAGGATCAGAAGGGCGCCAGCAGGAAAGGGTTGGTTTTTCCACTCCAGGAGAAGGCCCCCTGTCTGTAGGGAGAGACAGGCATGTGGGTATTCCAGGCCTTTCATTGAGGTCACAGGAGCTGGAAAGAGTTTCCACACTGCAGTAATAGTGCCCCGGTTCAAAGAGAGACTTCTCTCGGGAGAAATCCAAATGTCACTGCTGCTTTGCCCTTCAGAAAACTTCATCTGCTCATTTATTTTGCTTGGTGTGTGTGTGGTGTGTGTGTCATGACCACAGTGGTTTGTAACCTTTGACTTGTCCCTGTTCCGTCTTTGGCTTTAAAATGCCACACACCCTCCTCCTGTTGAGATTGGAAAGAAACTCGCTTTCACTCCGAATGCAGGGAGAACTGGTGGAGGATTAAGATGATTGGGGTGTGGGGGAGAATCGATGTCATAATATCAAGATGCAGGTTTACTGCAATTAAACAATTAAAATGATTTCGGGTCTTGTTTGGGTGTTGACACAGTTCCCATGGCTTCCAGACCCTCCCGGTGTCTGGGCCCTGGGCAGTCATGTAAAGGCTCTTTGTTGAGAAACCAGATTCCAATTTGCCATTAACCTGAATACACCCTGCTCACCTCAAGGAACTGTGAAACAGAGGAGTCACAGAAAGGAGCTATTCAGCTGGAATTGTGTGTGTTTTTTTATAAGAAAGTCTCAGCTGCCAAGCTCAGGATAGCATTTGCTTACTTGGGCAGCTTGTTTGCTACAGGCTCCGTTTGTGTAAGAGGGATGGCAGGGATAAAGCTAAGCTCAGTATTTTTCAATTACGGGACAAGTTTCTGTTACTTGCAACCAAAGGGGGGGGGGTGCGGGGGGGAGGGAGAAGGAGAGAAGGAGGGGCAGGGGGAAGGAGAGGAGAAAGGGGGGGGGGGGAATGAGCAAAGCCTGCACTGAAATCGTGGTGTTTTAACCTCATTTGTTTTCAATGTGGATGTTATCAAAATAGACATTTATCCTCATCCAGGCCTTTGTGCTAAAGACAGAAAATGGCCGAAGCCAGTTTAGCTCAGTGGTAGAGCGTCGGTCTGTGGACTAAAAGGTCCCAGGTTCGATTCCGGTCAAAGGCATGTACGTTGGTTGCGGGCACATCCCCGGTAAGGAGTGTGCAAGAGGCAGCTGGTCGATGTTTCTCTCTCATCGACGTTTCTAGCTCTCTATCGCTCTCTCCTCCTCTCTGTAAAAAAATCAATAAAATATATTTAAAAAAAAAATAAAGACAGAAAATGGACCCCAGAATGAACACCTAAAGCCTCTCTGAACACCTTCACAGTTTTCAACCACTCATGTCCTATAAATGAGTGACATCTTGTAGCCATTGAGGCAAGAGAAGGAAAGGCGAGTCTGAGAGAGTCATTTGTTTTCTTGGGTAAAAGCTTCTAAGCAAAACAGAGGAAGACTATTAGTCAGCCTGCATCTGATTTTCCAAGCTCAGGTACCAGTGGACATACATCTGTCAGCATTTAAGACCACTTGGTGCTTCAAGGAATTTCAAAAGGGTATTCTTCGCAAGGTGATCAGACAGAACTCTGTGGTTTGCTGGTGGCCGTATGGAAGGAGGCTGGGTTGTGGGATCCGTCTTTACTGGGTGGGAAGTCCTGCTTGGTTCCCTCTGCTGGGATGTTCTGTTCAACAATTCCCAGAGGAAGATCCTTCTGGAGGAAAGGAGTGTGAGCAGGTCAGGTCTCCCTGACCTTGGAGTTCATGAGTTACTCCAGTTTCTGTCCAGAAATTCCCCTTTTGCTTGAGTTACTGCGAATTGAGTTTCTGTTACTTGCAACGGAGAGAACTTGAGCCAACACCACCTTCCATGGCCTGGCCCCCGCTCCTTCTCCAGCCTCATTTCCTGACAAGCCTGCCTCCAGCTTTACGCTGTCCTTCTGTCTGTCACCCTGTTTCGTGCTCCCATCCTTCGCTCTGTTGGGACACCTTGTCACCACCCATCGCCACTAGGACCTTTATCTCTAAACTGTTCTGTGCAAACTCAGGCCTGACCCGGCCCACTCCCACCTCAGCCTCCCCACCTCGTGGTGAGGGGCTGCTCTCTGCTGTCGGTGAGCTCCCAGAAGCCTCCACCCTCTCTTGCCTCCACTTACCTGGAACCTGGGTGTCTTCTGCTACTTTCCGAGTGGAGCCTGTGCTCTCTCTCCCCTCGGACTTCAGGCCTGGAAGGGATGGGTCTGCTCTTTGCCTCCATTGCTCTTCCAAGCTCCCTGTTTTCTTCTCTCAAAGCACCCTGCTCCCTGGAGATCCAGCGTCAGCTCTCCACTCCTGTCACTGCCGCCTTCTCCCACCCTCCCAAGCCACCTTCTTTCACTTGCTGAACCTACCAGAGCTGGGTTCCCTCTTTCCTTTTCCATCCTGACTCCTCTCACCGCCTTTGGTGACTTGAACATCCACATAGACAATTCTATGTGATGACACCGTAGCCATGAGCACCTCATTTCTGGTGATGCCTTCCTGCACACTCAAGCATTTATTGACAACAAGCATAGAGACAATGGGCCCAATGGAGGAGGTTCTATTTATCTTCAAAATTATAATTTCTATAACTGGGGTGACTTTATTTATTTCTCAAACTGGGGCAATTTTGTGAATGAAAGAGGATACCAAAGTAATTAAATTATATTATTTTGGGAAATATTTACTTATTGATGACAAATGGTTTTTGTACTAAGGCCCCTATAAAATAATTATACTCAAACTATTTTCCGAAAGAACATTTTTCTTTTTTTAAAGAACATTTTCCTTAAAATAATAAATTACTTGTGTGTGTACACTGAAAAAACAAACTCCTTTATATTGATTATATAGATGTTTAAAAATATAGGCAGAGTAACTGTTTGTAGTACTTACTGATGTTCTTGATTAGTTTCTGAGCAGAATCTGTCACTAATCGTGTGTCACTGGTATCTTTATAAAGAATTTCCGTTTTTTGAAAAATAGTTTTCATATTTTGAAGTTTTTGAACGTATTTGTGTGCAATTGCCTTTAAAGTTAAATTTATGGTTAATAAATTTGAAATTGCTGTCACTTTCATTGACTCTTCTTTGTAGCCCACATTTTAAATTGTTATACTCTCTCTCCAGGTACTGAGAGATTTGGTAAGCTTTATGCAAATTCTGCTAAATGGATGATGACTTCGATTCAAAATGTTTTATGTAAATCTTTTGTGCCAGGTATTTACACAGGTATTACCTTTTTGCCTCCGGTCAGAGTAGCATGCTTCAACACACATTTCTACAAAACATAACTTGTCGAATGTCACATGAGTTTACAACCTAACACACCAGTCCTTCGCAGAAGCTGGGTGCAGAAAGTGGAGGTCAGCCAAACCCATCCCATCGTAATGCTGCCACGAATGATAACATCCGGTTAACAAACAAAAGCATCCGGGACAGATGCCACACTGGGTGGGACCCGAACAGGCCTCCTGCAGGAAACAGCTGTGACACTAACTGCTCAGAGGGAGCTCAGAGGTTCTCAATTCCGATGACATCTCAGCCCCACAGAGAGCTCCATTCCCAGACCCCGACTTCACTGGACTGGGGTGGGGACTGAGAACCAGCGTTGTAGTCTTCACGTGATTCTAACCTGCAGCCTGGGCTGAGAGCCTCTGCACCCACTCCGTGCACCACTGGTGAGCCGGATGGCCCTGGCTCTCTATGGCCCTAACAGCAGCGGGTGCCAGCGCAGGGTCTCTGCGTCCCTGGGTGTGTCGTCACCCCGAGCTGGGAGCGAGGGCCCTGCAGGAGCTCTGGGGAAGGAGAAGAGCAGGGGGTGGCCCTGCCACAAACACTGTACCCCTGCCTGTGACGCAGAATGACCACATGTATCCTTTTCAACATTTCATTAAGCCACTCCTACATGGTTACAACAGAACGAAACCCGTTGAAGGTCACAGAGTTCTAATGACAGGTCAAAACAAAACAACAGAAACCAAAAGCTTTGGTTAGGCCTGTCTCAAGTGCTGTCCTCTATTCTGTGTAGTTATTTTGAAAACAGTTGTCAAAACGTCAAACACTCAGCATCCTCAAAAGGATGTCTCATTTGGGCTCATTTCTACACATTCATGATCATCTCCCTAACTCCAAGTTTTGAGATAGGAAAAGAGCACACTGGCAGAGAACAGTAGCGACACGGCGTATCTCCAGCCCACGTGCCCATGAGGCCGAAGGGGGGCGGGGGCCTCTGTCCCGGTGCCAGGCAGGACAGCGGCGATCGGCCGCCCGGATTCAGTTCCGAGGCCGGGAGTTGAACTCCGCACAGATGTTCCGGATGACCTTGGGGACCAGTGTGTAGAGGCTGTCGAACTCGTCCACGAAGAAGGCGTGGTCCCTGGCCGGGTGCGAGGCGATGACGTCCAGCTCGTCCTGTGCAGCCCAGGCGATGCCCACGGCGTAGGTGATCACTCCTGTGGGGACAGAGCGGCCGTGAAGCAGACGGACAGTTCCAGGCAGAGGCACTGCTCACGAATCCTCACCTTCCCGCTGCTCCGCTGGCAGCCAAATGCAGACTCGGAAGTGTGCCCCAGGGCATGGACACCTGCTAGGTACCCGCAGGAATGAAGTGAATGCAGGTGCTATCTCACTGGAGCTTACCGTCTTTTGAGGAAAAAACCCACCAGAGATAACATGCAGTGAATGCATGATCAGAATTTCATATCCATGAGCGACAGAGGGCGTGACATTTTGGGACAACTGAAACTCTTGCTGCCCATGCAGACCGTACCACACGCACAGGCCCGCTCTGCCTGCGTGAGGAGGCAAACGCAACGTCAGTCTTAAGTGCATCAAAGAGTCAGTTCAAGATCTTTCTAACGAAGACGGTGGCATTGGAGGACTCAAAGCTCTATAAGCCATGACCTCCAAGCTCAGCCCCAGAGCAGGAACCCTGCACAAGGACCCGGAGAGACGGCCACTGAGGACGGGCCCCATCGCTGCCAGGAAGGGAGGGTCTCAGGAGATGTCAGTGGCCAAGCGTGTTGAACGCTGCAAGGAGGTCATGTAAGATGCAAGATGTGCTCGGTGGATTCAGAAAACACGAAAATGAGGCATTGGTAGCCTGAGGGAGCAGCTTCAGGGGAGCAGATGCGGAAGGAACCAGATGAACTGCAGTGCGCTGAGAGGGAAGAAGGAATGGAGACCCGGGCAGTACAGACCACTGACCCTCTCCAGGAGAAGGGCTGTAAGGAGAGGAGGCTGGAGCATTTGGCTAAAGAACATGTCTTATTTGTCGGGAAGGGAGAGGCTTGAGGAAGGCTAGATGCAGATGGGGAAGAAGATAGTGGGGTTACAGGGGTGGGACTGTAGCAGGGAGCAGGGTGTCCAGGGAGCAGAGAACAGATTCAGAGACAGGGCGTCCGCTCTCGGTGGGAAATCAGCGACACCGCCTGGTGTATGGTTCTTGATTTGGGGTGGGGAAAGCAGGTCAGCAAGTGCATGACCTCACTGTACAAAAGCCTATTCCCTGGCCACCTTCAGGCTGGCCGGAGTGGGGTGAGCAGGCTGCTGTGAAACAGAGGGCAGAACGGGTGAGTGGTGATGAGATCTGGCTCATCCTGTGCAGTCCAGGCGATGCCGACTGCATAGGGTGATCATTCCTGTGGGCCGTCCTGTCGAGGCCTCTGTCCCTCGGCCACCCAAGTGGCCCACGTCATGATCGCTAGCGTCCTCTGGGCGCCCTGTCCTGCTGACTGGAGAGCCATCCACTCCTCACATGGCTCTGGTCTAAGCTGCTTTTCAGCTCTGGCTCATTAAACTGCATTTAAGCTGCCAGTCCCTGTGCTGATCTTTCCAGGGTCTTCTCTGAACACCGCCCACGTTGGGGGACATCCAGCCTTGGGCCTCAACACGCTGGCAAGTGGCAGAGGAACAGCTTTGTGGCAGAACGGGGCAGGCTCAGACCGACTAAGCGCTCACTTCTGCTCAAAGTCGGAAAGGCTGTCCCCCCTCCACCCCAATAAAAATGCAAACGGTGTTAGACATTGGGTTTTTCAGCTCCTTGAGCCCACCCTTGTAGAGAACCTTGTACTAGAAATTCGGATGGATGTCTGCCCAGCCTTGGCTCGGATATTTCCAGGGACACGTATACATATGCCCTTGACCGGAATCGAACCTGGGACCCTTCAGTCTGGGGGCTGATGCCCTATCCACCTAACCATACCGGCCAGGGCTCTGCTTATGGTTCTGCACATCCTAGTAAGCGTTAGGCGAAAGCAAGGCATCAAAAGACAGTCGCTTCCTCATCCCACCGGCCCCCTCCTCAGCAGCAGCCTGGTGGGCAGGCCCACTCACCCTTGAGATGAGCCGCCATGGCCGGGATCCGGATGTCATCGTAGGACCTCCCGTCGGTGATGAGGACCATCAGCTTCCTCTTGTTGGGCTTGGACTCCTTGAAGAGCCGCTCCAGGGCGTAGTTGATGGCGGCGCCCGTGCTGGTCCCGCCGCTCCAGTAGCCCACCCTCCTGATGGCGCTGAGGACGTCGGGCTTGGTGCGGTAGGCGTCGAACCCGAACTCCAGCCGCTGCTCGTAGGTGTACTGCACGGCCCCGACGCGCGTGTCCGTGTCCGAGATCTCGAACTCCCGGCTGAGGTTGGCCACGAACTGGAGGACGGTGCGGAAGTTGGCCGTGCCCACGCTGCTGGAGCCGTCCACCACGAAGCCCACGTCGGCCGAGTTGAGGCAGGTCTTGCTGCAGGCCAGCCGGCCGGCGTCGCACACCCGCTTCACCAGGGGCTGCGCGCTCTTGTGCAGACTGAACCAGCTGGGCACGCTGAGCGAGTAGAAGCCATTGGTCCTGCACACGGCCTGGAAGACAGAGGGGGCACACCTGCCGTGTCAGGGGTTCAAGTCTGTCTTTTTTTTAAAAAAAATAAATATATTTTATTGATTTTTTTTTTTTTTTTTTTTTTTTTTTTTTTACAGAGAGGAGGAGAAAGGGATAGAGAGCTAGAAACGTCGAAGAGAGAGAAACATCGATCAGCTGCCTTCTACACACCTTCTACCGGGGATGTGCCCGCAACCCAGGTACATGCCCTTGACCGGAATCGAACCTGGGACCTTTCAGTCTGCAGACCGACGCTCTACCGCTGAGCCAAACTGGTTTCGGCTCCAGTCTGTCTTGATTACCCCCGTGGTCGGCAAACTGTGGCTCGCGAGCCACATGCGGCTCTTTGGCCCCTTGAGTGTGGCTCTTTCACAAAATACCACGGCCTGGGGGAGTCTGTTTTGAAGAAGTGGCGTTAGAAGAAATTTATGTTTAAAAAATGTGGCTCTGAAAAGAAATTTCAATCGTCGTACTGTTGATATTTGGCTCTGTTGACTAATGAGTTTGCCGACCGCTGCCCTAGACCACCAGGGCAGGGAAAAAGCAAACAGACTCGTGTTTGCTACACCAGTTAGTCCTCCTAACGTTGCCTATCTCGGTTCACCCGGTTTGGCCCTCGCTGGGGCGCCGACCCCTCGTGTTTTTTCTGAACTCACTCCCACCCTGTCCTCAGCAGGTCTCTGTCGGGGAGAGCCGTCCGTTAAGCACTGGCTCTGGCTTCATCTTTATGCCTCTGCAGAGTCGTTGGTTCATCTGTGCTGGCAGCCGGCCATACGATTGGCACTGGTGGCCACCAGGCTCGGGAGGATTAAAGAATGCTTTCGATCTGATGGGGAAAACGAGACACACACGAGAGGCAGCTACAGAGATGTCTCCAGAGCCGCCCTGGGCCCAGCGAGAAGGGGCCCCGCGTGTGTCAGGAGTTACAGTCCCTGGAAGAGAGTCTCTCATTAAACCCTCACCCTCATCCTAAAAACCGGAATTATCACCCCTCTGCCATGACGGGACAAACCCAGGGCCATCTGGGAAGGGACATCCCCAGTCCCCGAGACCAGCACATAAGTCTCTCCGCCTGAAAAACCCAGCCCGTGTCCTCCAGACAACCCTGCCTCCGGGCAAATGAGTATTTATTTACTTGTGCCCGAGCTCATTCCAGAAAAACAGTAATGCAGCTGCAAATAAACACGGAGCCACCTGGTCGGTGAGCTGCTGGAAATGACCGGGCTGCCTTCCTGGAGAGAAAAATCGCAGACCTGCTGTCGCCACATGAGCTGGTATAGTTCACATTTTATTCAAAACAAGAAATGGCTTAAAAGTGTCCCAAGAAATATTTTAGGTTGGTTTCTAAGGACCTAAATGGCGTTCATAATGCTTTGCTCAGACGAGATGACGTTTGAGATGCGTGTGGAGGCTGAGCTGAAATCCAGCCGATGGATGGAGAGGAGAGATCCCCGGGGGCAGCCTGAGTAAATCCTGGCGGGAGAGAGCAGTGGTGTGGGTGTGGACAGACGCCCCTGGGATCCCAGGGCCTGTGGGTGGGAGTCACAGCAGATGGGCCAGGAGCAGCGTTTGAAAGCATGATGTCCCTGACCGGGCTCAGTACCGCCCTTCCCTTGTTCATCAGGGTGGTTAGCCTGCAGTGCGCCTGCATGTACGTGTGTGAGCTAGTGTTGGTGCCTATTGCATGCTCATGGGGAGGCCCGCTGGCTGCCTGGCTGAGGTCCCTTGCTCTGTGGAGGAGCCTCTTTGTGGGACCTGGGGACTCTGCTCCCCCAAGGTGCTGGCGCTGGCCTCAGCGCCCCGGCTGCTGCGGGGTTTTGCTTTGAGAGGGCAGATCCTGGCCTTGGAGGTGCTACGCCCTCCCTGGAGGACCCTGCCTGGACGTGAGCTTAGCATTTGTTCGGAGGAACAGGAAGCACAGCCCTGATGGCTGTTAGAGCTTTGCAAAGTGCAGAGAAGCCTGGCGGCGGGTGGGCCTCCGGCAGTCACACACCTTGCTTGCGAAGTTGGGCTCCATCACGTACGGCTTCTCGTGTTCCCCGGCGCCCTCCACGGTGATGAAGAAAATGTTGATCCCTGACTCTCTGGCGAGCCGGGACGCTTCCTCCACCGTGTCGGTGGGCCAGCCGTCCACCAGCACCACGGCCACGTTGGGGGCGCCGCCTCTGTTCCCGTTGGCCTTGGAGAAGAAGCTCTTGGTCACAAAGGAGATGGCCCGGCCTGGGAGAGAAAGAAAACTCACGCCTGCAGCGATCATAATGAAAGGAATAGGTCATCACGGCACAAAGAGGCCCAGAGCAACGCTCTCATTCCCTCCCTCGTTTCTTGCTTTGTTTGCCGCGTCCACCATTTTTAGCTCAGTAGCTTCGGCACATTCGCAATGGTGCACAGCCATCACCACTATCCATTTCCCTCTGCGGTCTTCCTTTAGCCTTTCACTTCGGATTGTCTCATATTGAAAAAGAAAAGAAATAGGGACCAACAAGGAGGTAGGGTGGCTTGCTAGGGCACTGTGACACCCACTGAGAGCTGAGGCACTGTGTTCCTCCTGTTGTCTATTGGCTGTGTGGCCCCAGGTAGGTCACTACCTGTCTCTGTGCCTGGATTTCCATGACAATAAACTGTCTCAGCTGAGAGCTTGCTGACCACTGACCTAGACTCTCGATTCCAATAATTACAGGCTGTTGTGATTCCTTATGATTAAGCCCCTATCCCAGTGGTCGGCCAACTGGGACTAAGGGAGCCTCCAGCATCCCTTTCCCAAGCACATGTTTTATTCTGTCAAGAGTTTCAGGAAATTTCTGGAGTTAATTGGGGTGACTGTCCCAGTTTGCCAGGACTTTCCCAATTTCAGCACTGAAGGGCCCATCTGCTCCCAGGCCCACTGGGATGACTGGTCACCCTCAAGTCAGCATAGCTGCATGTAGTGAGATGGGCCCTTCACCTGGGGTCTGTGGGCCCCTAGGACACCGGGGTGTGTATACATAAATCCCCTGAAATTATGAGTGCTTTGTGTGCATAAGTATCTATTTGGATCGAAGGGTCATAGCTTTCTCAAGGGGATTCTCAAAGGGTCTTCAATCTAAATGAAAGTTAAGAACTACCTTCTTAAGGCTTTAGGATTAATGTCATTACAAAAAGCCAGTGCTTTTCTGGTGTTGGTGAGCATCCTGGCTCTACCGGCCAGGACAATCTTACCTGTCAGACGAAAGGATCAGCTGGTTACATACGCAGTTGCTGGAGAAATGTCTTAGAGACCCCATGTGAGCTGGCTGCTAAGAGAAAACCTTGAGGAGAACAGCTTTCATATCTAAAGCATAACTTCCCTCAAGGCCCCAGGGCCTTTGGCATTTATATGGGTGATGACGAGTCTTGATCATACGGGGTCCGTGATCATACTTGAGAAACGATAGATACTGTGTGAATCATTTCCTGATGTATTACTATTGTCCTCCTCTCTATAACGCTAGGAGACCATCACGTAGAAAGAGAGCCCGGGAGAAAGATAGAACGAATACGGATCACATACCCACGTTAGACAGCCCTCCTCTCTGCGTGATCTTCTCTATGGCTGCTTTCAGGTCTTGGGAATTCATGTGAGTTTTGAGGTTGAATTGGGTAGCAGGGTTATCTCTGAGGAGCCAGAACAAGAGATAAAAATCAGGCGGACAGTTATTGCCTGTGGAGGAAAGCAGAAACCATGGCGGGTTCTTTCCTGTACACCAAGCGTGTCAAACTCGCCGTCCGTGGGCCGCATGCCTTGTTTATTTGGCCCACGTTAGCCTTTGAGTTTGACATGCTTGATGTACACACAGAGTGGAGGCTGCTTCGGTGAAGCGCCCCACTGTGGACAGGAGTAACGGCGAGACGGGAAGATGGGCTCCCCCCAGGGTGTGCGAGGAAAGCGGGCCGGCTCAGGCTTCAGGACACGAGGGTTCTAGTTTTGACCGTCCTTCCTTAGCTGTGTGACCTTGAAAAATCATTTCACTCCTCTGGGCTTTAGCTTCTTTATCTGGTAAAAACAAGCATCATAGCACTCTCGTTGTTAAAAAAGCAGGACTCTTGTCAGGTGGGGTTTTGCAAATGCCAGGATGTTCCCAGGCTGCTCCAAACCCTCTTCACCAGAAAGAGAATCAAGCTGCTGGCCACTCCCTGGGTTACCTCTGTGCTGGAATGGCACGTTAGTGGTGTCAAGCAAAGACACCCCTTCAGCTTTTCCATGTTGTGGCTCCTGGGATTGGGTGAGAATATTCCAGTCTCATCCGGAGGTCAGCATCTCCTTGATGGAAGCCTGACAACGATGAGCCTGAGAGGAGCTGGGTGAATGATGTGGAGAAACAGAGGGTAACCCTTCTCTAGAGAGGAGCCTCCGTGGGGAAACCGAGCAGCTGGGCAGAGAGTGGCAAACCCTGCATGAGCAGGTGGGGGGAGGGCGCTGCCAGGGGTGTGAGCACCACGCCCAGGAGCAAGTGCAGGTGAGCGGGAAAGCCCTATGTTTGGAAGCACCGACCAGGCTGCTGGCAGGGCTCCGTGGAGTGTGACGTCTGAGGTCTCACAGGGTCCCTAGCCTCCAGGCGAGCCTGCATGCGCCTGGTTCAACACTCTCATGCGCTGTCTCTGACTTCTTCATCGTTTTTCAATAAGAGTCCCTGCAAATTATGTGGCTGCTCCTGGCTGCGGGTTGCTAAGTCTCCAAGGAGAGAGAGAAGGAGACTTTAAAAAGCAGCCTTCGCCAAAACCGTTTTGGCTCAGTGGATAGAGCATCGGCCTGTGGACTGAAGGGTCCCAGGTTCGATTCCGGTCAAGGGCATGTACCTTGGTTGCGGGTACATCCCCAGTAGGGGGTGTGCAAGAGGCAGCTGATCGATGACTCTCTCTCATCTATATTTCTAACTATCTCTCTCACTTCCTCTCTGTAAAAAATCAATAGAAAAATATATTTAAAAAATATAAAAAATAAAAAGCAGCCTTATCTCAGTTAATACAATTACAGCGGCTACAACTCAGGACACAGCCTCACCAATGCTGCCCAGCACCAGTTTATACTGAAATTAAGTTCTTTACACCAAGTAAGTGGCTATCCACAACCACTGGCCAGTGTGCATATGAACTGAAATTTCTAGATTTGGGGAGAAGCAAAGGCTGTATGTGCTTAGATAAATGCAATCACTGGAAACATCCATATGATCTGGGAGCATCTTTAGACAGTCCCAGGTTGGAATTTGAAGGGGCCACAGTGGATGGAGCATTAGTGGTCCTTCAGAGGACCTGGTGCTGCCATCACCAGGATGCAGCCCCTGGGACCTGAGAGGGGACAGTCTCTGCCCCGCTCCCTCCTTCCCTAGCTCCTTCCCTGTTTGCTGACCTTCCCAGTAGGTAAGGTGACCTGTCAGAGGAGAACTTGTAAAGGAGCTGGAAAGATGACCCTCTGACTTCCATTGTGTTAATAAGTCCAAGAGACATGGGCTGGTTCTTAAGCAAAACCAAATCAGCTACCTCCAGGGAAGATAAGGAAAGTTGAAAACAAGCTCAACCGAGGCGGATGTTGGGCAGAATCCAAAGAGGTGCAATGCTACCAGAGGAAAACGAAGTTCTCGGTTAGGATTAAATTAGAAAAACAAAACAAAACAAAAAAAACTACACAACAAAACAGAGGCAGGTGGGCCAGAGTGAGAATGATGCCTCTTCTAAAGGGCCTGATTCTGTATTTGTAATTTCATGTTATTTTTTCTTAAAGGAACCCCAAATTGCATGCATTTCAGGGTCCCTAAAGTCTGGATCTTCCCTTAGTGACCAAAAATAACGACTTTTTCAGGGCTTAAAAGAAAAAGTTGAAACAACAAAAAAATAATATTGGCTACAAAATAAGAAAATTGCAAAATTGATATTTATATAAGATAATGTAATTGTTTACCAAATAACACTATATATACTTTTTTAGTTGTGAAAACTTTAACTCCTAAAACTTTAATGGTATTTGAAAATGATTTGTGGACTCGATTTTCTCACTTTGAAAGATTTCCTGAGTGTGTCTGATGATTGTGAAGAAATCACACCGAATTATAATTTGTATTGCTCATAGACAAATAATTTAAAAAGCAAAAATATAAAGATTTCTTTCAAAAAATTTTACAGGAAAACAGTATTTAAATGTGGAACCTAATCGCCTGGTCACATCCATGGTGTTCCCCCAGAATCCTGTGCCGAGGCTGTGTTAATGTTGATCACTTTGTAGAGTGATTGTTGATTTCCTATCTCTTTCTTGTTCTACGTAAACAATGGGGTCTCTGTTTTTCGTGGTAGTTACCTTCTATGACGTCACTGTGAGCATCCAATTAGCAAACACTGAGCCATTGCTCCCAGGGGAGATACAGGGCTAGGTTCCTGTGAGCCTCTGGTTACAATGTTCGCATCAATAGATCAATACAGAAACTTGATTGATGTATGTTTCTGCTTGAAGAAACATAATTTAATATATGTTTCTTACAAATAATTAATTATATGGAATATTTCTATATAATAAAACACTAGCTGAGAAGAGTTTAACATTTTTCTGATCCTGGGTAATGTTTACACAATATCTTTGGCTTTCTGCCTCACAATGCCATCCACTATGCATTTTTTTAAAAAATCAGCCGTCATTTCATGAATTTATAAGTTCAGCCACTTTTTCATAACTTCAGCATGTACTATCGATGTTCTAGAGCAAACTCATGTACAGATCAGCAAATGTCCTTTCTTTTCCTAAATGTATATTTAACCATTGAACTTACAGCCAACAGTGCTATAACTCATACTTAAAAGGAAACTTACCCAACACTTGTGTTTTCTCTATAAGCACACCACAACCTTCCTGCACTTAGAACCCTAGACTGGGGGTCATTGTATTTATTTAGTTTTTAAAATTGAGATAATATTGTATTAGTTTTAGGTGTACAACGTAATGATTTGATATAAATATACACTGAGTGGCCAGATTATTATGATCTCTGAACGCATAATAATCTGGACACTCAGTGTGTGTGTGTGTGTGTGTGTGTGTGTGTGTGTGTGTGTGTGTATTAGAGGCCCAGTACATGAATTTGTGCATGGGTGGGGTCCGGCCAGCCTGGCCAGGGCAAGGGGAAATGGGCAGTTTACCGGCCTGCCTGCTGGTCGAACTCCTGGTTGAGGGGACAATTTGCATATTAGCCTTTTTATTATATAGGATATACACTGAGTGGCCAGATTATTATGCGTTCAGAGATTATAATAATCTGGCTACTCAAGGTATATATTGTGAAATAATTACTAGAATAAGTTTGTTGAACATCTATCACTACACATAGTTACAATTTTTTTTTTTCTTGTGATGAAAACTTTTATCACCAAGTATTTTAAGGTTTCTTAGCAACTTGTAAGTACATGGTACAGTATTGTTAACTATAGTCACCATGCTGTACTTGACATCCCGGGACTGACTTATGTTATAACTGGAAGTTTCTACCTTTGACCAACTTCATCCATGTCATTGGGGGCCATGTTAAACAGTGAAATTATCATCAGAAAAAGCACAAAAAATACAAAAAATGTGTCACTAAACAGGCTGTGAAAAGAATACTTGTTTACGGTATGAGCTGCAACAAGAAAGCAGAGCATTGCCTTGTTTGACCTCAGCTGGGAATGTGTGTGTGTTGAAGGACTCAAAAACCTCTCCCTCTGTGCGTGTCTACATATCACCAGGAAAGTACCACAAGTAAATGATTTTGGAGTTACAAATAAATTTTAGGGAGTAGGTGTTTTTGCAAATATGGAAGCTACTTGAGAACAGACACTATGTCTCAGTGTTTCCCACCCTAGTGCTTATCAGACAGGGGTAATGGATAATTGTGCAATCACTAAGAATGGAGGCTCACATGTCTTCTCTCTTGGATCATCCCGTGTGGAGCTGAACACTCTGCCTTGAGCTCCCCGGATCACACTCACTCTCTATGACATCACTGAGGTCGATGAATACATCTTCAGAGGCAGACACATGAGCTATTCATATGACCAATGAATAGGCGCTTTTAATTTTATTTAATGTTATTTCTTTATAAAATACTGCCTCCCATACTCGATGGTGGAGTCCTGAAGAGCAGACTCTCTATCACATGTATTTATTTAGTGTTATTGGACTGAAAGGTTGGATCAGAGAGCCTCAGAAATGCTTTCCAACTGCTAAACTGCTGATTAGGGGCAAAACCACAGCTCATCCCCCAAGGGACTTATAGGCAAATGTGATCAAACCACTTCAGTGAATTTTACCTCATTATCCCCTGCCAATGGCAGAGTGCTTAGTGCATGGGAAACACTCAATAAATCTTTATTAAGCTGTAATGCAATTAAATCATAGGAATGAATGATAAGTCTTTCACCTGCACACTGTGGCGGCTCTCGGGACCAGAACACCTGGTGTATGTGTCCTTTTCAGGATATATGGGCTGGTGGCCTGACATCCTAGCCTGGCTACTTTTAAAAGTTCAAAGAGCTATGCCACTACGTTTTTATATAAATAACCTTTTAATTTTATTGCAAGATCTTATTAAAGGAGACCACATGTTTTGTATTTTTTTCCCTCCTTAGCAATATCAAAGCTTTTTCTTTGAAAATAA